TGGAGGAGGTTGCTCAGAGCGGCCTCGACCCGCAGTACCAGGGCAGCTTCTGGCAGGACTTGGGAACACCGGACCTGTGGATGCTGTTCTGGACCACGCTGGTGACGTGGGGTTCCGGGGTCGTCATCAGCCTCAACAGTGCCCAGATATACCGTTCGCTGAACAATAACGAGTACGACACTGCCACAAATACGATGTACTCGGCCATTCTTGGTGTTGGGAACGGTGTAAGCCGTTTGGCAATGGGAGTGCTGGAAGTTATGCTTCTCCGCCGGCCTCCAGAGCAGCGCCCGGCAATCAGCTGCCTTCTTCCGATTGCATCGTGTTGCTTGTTCCTAAGTGTGTTGGTGCTGCTGGTGTTGCCGCTGCGTTCCAAGGCCATCATGATTGGGTTCTTCCTTGGCGGGTTTGGCAACGGCTCGGCCTGGGCGCTGACGGCCCTGGTGATGCGCTCCCTGTACGCGAAGGACATTGGCAAGCACTACAACTTTATGTTTTTGGCGGCGCTTCTTGGCATTATTGCGATCAATCGCTTTGCGTACGGAGAGCAGTACACGCAGGCGGCGAGGAAGGGCAACTCCTACCCCCACTGCGGCGGAAAGGCATGCGTCCAGAACGGGTTCATCGTTCTGCTATGCGTAAACGCGTCTGCTATTGTTACCAGTATCCTTGTGCACATCCGCTTCACCCGCTACGTCAGGAAGACACGTGCTTCCCTGGAGGCGGGTGGACATGAGCTTAACGCCCCTGACACTGAGCACCGCATGGACGAAAACTCTCCCACTGCAGAGAAAAGAGGCAGCCGTGACAGCGTGCAAATGTAATCTGGGGGAAATTTGTTTACCTAGTTTTTGTGATTTTTATCTTTTTGTTCCTTCCCTCCTACAAAATAAAATAAAAAAACCATTCTTGTTTTTATTGTGTTCTGATCTCTTGAGGGACTTAGAAAAGAGTCGTGGTACTCTGCGTGCGTCTGAAAGTAACAAAGAAAAAATGGCAGAGCCTAATTTTATTCCCTCGTCACTTCTTTTATATATATATATGTTTATGAATGTGGTATTTAAGGCCCACCCCGCGGGAGGCGGGTTAAGGGTGCCTGCAGCGCATTCTATTCAGCAGTGTGGTGCTTACTAATAACGCGGAGCCGCCTTTGGGGTCAGTGGAGGCTACTGAAAAGATACAGTTGTGGTGTGGGCTGGAGGCATGAGGAAATGAACAGTGTGTGTTGTTTTTATTTTGCTGTTTGTTTTCGACTATTAGGGGCCATTAGGGATTACGCGGCCTACATTAATTTATTGACGTTTTTGTTGTTGGTTTGTTTCCGTGTTTGCGGGGGGCGTGCGGGAGGGATGCTCTCTGCCTACTGGTGGTGCACATATTGAACTGCCCTACAGTGAAGTTTTTATGCCGTTTTATTCCTCTAACAGTGACACAAAAAAGAAAAGAAAATAAGATGGGGTAAGTGCTGCAGGTAGGGCTTGCAAGCAATGGCGCTCGCCACAGCACGGTGATTATGTTCGGGTGTGGGGGTTGGACGTCGGGCACGCGGGCAGTTGCGTCTTGGGTTGGGGCGCAACGGCCCAGATGCTCTTTTGGTTTGAATTCCGCCTGGCGCAGGCGCCCCGTCTGAGTTATTGTTTGGGTTCCACTTGCAGCTTGGAAGCGGTTGGGGGGGGGGCATATCGCTCATTACGGGCGTGGTTGGGCCGTGGATATTGGTCGCGTTGTCGGGTTCGATGATCTCCTTCACCGTGTCGCGGAACTCAGGCTTCCCAGTGGAGGTTTGGGGAGCGGGGCCGAATGGGCATCCCTGGAAGGGCGGGAGGCGGCGCCGTATCACCGGTACGAGTGTGGCAGGGCCCAGCTGAGCGGCCAAAGAGTTCAGGCTGCAGTGCGTTGTATTCAGCGGCGAGCAGCCAATTGGCGGAGGGCGCACCTGGTGGGAGGGAGGCGCGGCATTCCGGCAGTGTGCTTTTTTTTTTGTCTTTCCGCGTGGTGTTGGGCGTTGTGGGCTCCCGCAGGGCGAGGGAGGCGGAGGCAAGGCGCCCGGCGGCAGTTAGTGCCTGACAGGAGCGGCGAGTTAACCAGCGACACCGACCGCACGACGGCTGCGCTGCGGTGGTGCGTGATGTGCCGCGCAGAGGACAGGGCGCGACACAGGCGTGGAGAGTGAGTGGGCCACGATACGTGTCAAGGTGTCTGTGAAGGACATGGACGATCCGTCGAAGCACTGCATCGCGGAGGGGGTTGCGTGCAGGTTCGACAATGGCCGCTGGGTGAGATGCGAAAAGGACGATCCGTTGACGGAGGCGAAGGATGACATTGTTTTGAAGCAACTCCTCCCGGCAGCGATTAAGCTGCACGCCGAGCGTCTGTCCGTGGTGCCTGTGGAGGGCCCCATCCGTATGCTGTATGATGTTATAGGGGCGTGCAGCAGTCTTACCATCCCTTCCCGGCACCGCACGACCGGCGTGAGCGGCGCCGACCTGATTCTCTACGTCAACGCTCTCCCGACTGAGGGCCCCATCCGTATGGACGTCTTTGTGCGTCACTCTGAG